TATCAAACTGCTACCTAATACTGATAATGCTAACCCAAATTGAATTACTTCCAATGGAAATTAAACAAATGTTGGTCCAAAATGTGATTTCCCTATATAAACTATAGTAAAGTTTACCCCCTCCCCAGGGGGAAATGTGAGACCCCAGGGTCAAGAAATTCACAATTTCGGTAATTTGACCCTTTTTGGCCCCACCCCTCAGGCCCCTGGGGGCTTAGGACTAAACTGGCAACTATTTTTGTTCACCTTTGTCCATGGAAGGTCCCTGCAAAATTTCATTGAAATTGGTTCAGGGGTTTTGGAGAAGAAGTCGAAAATGTACATTGTTTACGAACGCACGACAGACGACAACAGACAAAAGGCGATCGCAATAGGTCACTTGAGACTTTGTCTCAGGTGACCTAAAAAAGCAGTCATGCCACACAAGAATCACCTATTCTCACAGAAATTTGCAGTTCCAAAAACTGAATATCAAATAGCATATCTGAACTTAAGTCTGCAATACAAAATATGATGAAAACGAAAGATTTATGGATAATGAATAGATGTCTCATGGCTTGTAAAATACATATTACTTTGATTACATAACGTGTACGGTATGATCACATATTTTTAATAAAAACATTTCAAGATTTTATTACAAATTAGAAAACAGGTTATAGAACTGAAAAACATTTTTTTAATATATTGTTCTGTTTTAATTAATGGCAAAGTTTACAATCTTTAGGTGATATTTTTGAAAAGTGATTTAATTTTATCTTTCTTAATGTCAGATGATTAACAAAGCACAATATAAGATTCTGATCTCACCATTGAGGATGTAGGTGGACTTGAGTGATTTCTGTTGTTGTTTAAGTGTTTGTACATAGAATGTGGCCCGGTCTCTTACTTCGTCGTCTGTGTCCAACAAACATCTATTGTTGAAAAATACAAAAAGAGAAATAAGAAATAAGATTATAACACCAAAAAAACCCTGTCAGTCTTATTTAAGCCTCTTTTACTTGGTTTCTAAATAAATGCACAAGCTATTTTTACTATAATTACTCTGAACAACAGAAACAGAGACTCAGACAATTTGAAGTGTAAAATTTCAATTTAAAATGCTTTTCAAATCTCTATTTCAGAATGAAGCAGCACCATCTTAATCTAAGTTATTTAAATCTGGTTAACTCATTAATATATTTCTGGTTCCAATATTTGTTTATATTAGGAACTGATCTCCATGTTCCATGAATTATCGGGGAAATTATACTCTACACATTTTAAAGAAATTTAACATGTTTCAGTGGCTTTTTCAGTATATCTCAATCATAACTATAATATATGATGATGTATTAATTTAGATGATGATAGAGTACTGTATATGTACTCGAAAAGTTTCGCTCTGTCAATTATTCGCCCTTTGCCTATAAAATCCATGTTCTCCTAATGTTTATTAAAATTTGCCCTTATTGGGGAGGGCGAAAAAGGCGAAAGTTAAACTGCAGCGAAAATTTCCCTACATACAGTAAAGTACAGTTGTAGCACCATAATACTAATGACATTGTTTTGCAACAGTCTATAATTAAAATGCTTTGATTTATCACTTTTTCCATGATCTGACAGTATATATATATATTTACCGATAAAAACATTTTCTTCACATGGTATCAAGCAAAATATGTTCTTGTTCTTCACTGTTTCTTAGTATATTTAGACAAGTTGGAAGCTTAAGAAGTGAGATTTGTGAAAGTCGGGAGTATTTTAACAGTGGACTGTATATAGAACATTGTCTTACCTTTCCAGTAGGACAATACAGCTGGGCAGGAGCTCCTCACAGTGGGCACCAAACTTGGCCAGGGCTGTCACAGTGGCTGTAAACATACACTTCACAATCAGTATTTATATAGGTGTGTGTCTGTCTGCCTACCAATTACTGAAAGTCTGCAAACATACTGTCACATGACACATCATTTCGTTTATCATTCAATCAGGGATCCAATAAGATCATTTAGTAACACCCAAATGAAGTCATTGAATCCTGTGCTGTTGGTCTATTTTAAACATTGACATGATCAAATTTTCAAACAGAGATTTGAGAATCTTTATCAATTTGAATCTTGGTCAACTGAGAGCTTGGCTGTCTGGACACAAATCATGTTGGACCTCCTTCTTAGACATTAATAAAACTGAATTAGTCTGTAAAATATTGTTGACATAACTAAAATGTACTTCAAAGTAAAAGTGTCTGGAGGAATGATGATCTCTTGGGGAAAATTGAATAAGTTTACTCTCTGAAACAAAATCATAAATGTTAATATTGATTGTTCATCAATGTGTAAACATTAATGATTACTGCCATTTCAAACTATTTGATCTCTGCTTATAGAAACTTACCTGCTCGAACAGCAGCGTTTTCAAGGATAACCCTGTTGTAGATGAAGCGGATGTACTTGGAGGGGGTGGGGGTACGTGGCCCCTCCCTACCCAGTAGATGTAGGATCTTTGTGGCCAACACCGTGTGTTCACAGTCCTCAATAAATTCACACAGATGGGCAAGTCCTTGCAACAACAGAAAATACCAGTCTTAGTGTCATTGCCATTTTCAGGTTAAATATATTTTAGAATATACACGTTTTAAAGAAAATGTTCTTAAGGTGTACAATGATAGCACTGGCTAAAGTGGGGTCTAAATTAAATGATTAATCAGTTTAACATATATTATAATAAAATATGTGAGAAATATGCAAGAAAATTGGAGTCCCTTACAATTTTTTGTTCTTCTGATACAAAAGTAGATATAGAGCAACCCCTAGTTTTACTTGCTTTTTCCAAAGTAAGTTTTTCTTAAATTGAAATTTACACACCAATTTATAAACATGTGCAGGTATGTTCTTTTTCAAGAAGTAATGTAGCCTTGTATTGCCTAGAATAATTATTCAGTTGTAAAATTCTTTGACTATGGATCTGAATATAGTGAAAAGATAGAACTCCTGGGCATGCCCTAACAAGTTTCTAATACCATTATAATATAAATCTCACCTGCTTCCTTCGCCTCTGGGTTGTCCTCTATGATGGTAATGATACTGTCCACAATGGCCTTCTTGTACTCAAAACCTCCCTGTAAAACAGGAAATTATTAGTATAATTGTATTTAAACATTAAATTAACGTTAATACAGGCACATTAAACAATTATGGCCCCTTTCGCACATCCGGTTCAACCAGTTGAAATGGTTGAACCTGAAAGAAAATGACAGGCGCAGATCTGAACCGAGGCTGACCTCAGGAATACTTGACACATGAAGATTGAGGGGTCCAGACAGAATATTTCTGCACCACCTGAACCATTTCAACCAAGATATGTGAATGTGACCAAAGTTTGTTTTTTGTGGGTTTAGTTATAGAAACAGTAATCAATCATTACATTACATGTAAATGTAATCAAACCCACAGTGACAGTCAAGTTTTTTGTGTTTTAATTATACAAACAACTTGGACTTTAAGTACTATTGAGTCATTTTAGCAATATAATTGGAACATTTTGATCAATTTATCAATCAGCAAAGTGTTCAAAACTTTAAGGAGTGAAACCACTGTCATATGACATTGCAACTGAAATGTAAAACAGAAAAACAGAAGCTTCCCACCTAGTTGTAAGTCCTTTAGAGATTTATAGAGCTACAATTACAGTAGGATGTGATTGGGTTAGATCCAATTAAACAGATTTATAGAGTTAACTTATAACATTATCCAATGTGTTCGTTTCATTGTTTTCCATGTTTATCTAATTCCAAGGGAGGTAATTGGAAATTGATTTGAAGTAGCAAAATATCATTACCTCATCCCTTAGGACGGAGGACAGGAAGTTCATCAACACAGGATGCTTTCTCGGGAACTTCGAGCATAGGGACCTAGGCAAAACAAAAAACCCTTAAAACATAACACCACAAAATACATAGTAACTAGACAATTTAAGACGACTGAATTATTCACAAAGTATTGCTGTATTAAAATTATCTTCACCTTTGCCAAACATATCTGTTTATCAGGTCTGTAATACCTAGTACACATAAAACAGATTGTATAGCGAACAATTCTTACCAAGTACAAATTCTCCCCATAACATTTATCATGCCAGCAAAATCTGAAAATTGTATCTCCCCCCCCCCCCCCCCCCCCCCCCCCCCCATACAAACTATAGAACCAGGGATGGTCTTTCTAACCCCTGTTTTTACCAGTAATCTTTTCTGTTTGACTAAGAGATATAAGCTATGGTGAAAATTGGTACTTAGCAAGAATTGTTAAGTAGGTTATTTTTATAGCTATTTATTAGGTCTTTAACCCTTCACACACAGATTGAGCAATACTCTAACATTCTGTACAGAAATTAAACTAAATCTTACTGTATGGCTTGAATGACAACAATTTTGAACTCGTCAGAGATTTCATTCATGAAACTGGAGATCTGCTTCATCAGTCTGTCAATACTGCTTTCACTTCCCGTCTGTAAGACAAGCAAACATAGAATAGTGACCATAAATTATGAAATATACTAGTTCTGTTCTTATGTAACTCAACTTAAAAATTACACTTTAGAATGTTAATTAAGACCATGGTTATGACTAGTAATTCTTATATTGAAATCCCCTGTTAAGTAATTTTCTTGTTTACAGAAAACTCTTGTAACAGAAGTCATGAAAAGGACATATTGTAAACCTGAGCTCCTTTGGAACTTGAGGCCAAATAAAAATATGAGCATGATTATGTTCTCTAATGTGAAGGAAGGAAAGTTCAAAGTAAGGTAAAACTTCAAAATACCAACAAAAAAGATCAGTTTATCACTCAAAAACTCAGCTGTGCAGAAATCTTTGACGATACTGTTTAAATTGTATTGATTGGTATACTAGTCAAAGTAGCTTTTATAAAATAATGATGAATATGATACCTTTAGGAGGGTGGTGATGGCCAGTGTAGCAATACTGCGGTTAGAGTCCGTGATCAGGTTCTCTAGTTCCAAGTTACAGGCTGTTACTGCAGCTGGGTGTTTCATGGCAACCTTTAAACACAAAATTAATGTTATGATGAACTTTCATGATATTTTACCTAAAAACAAACATTGAAACAGATCTTCTGCTTGAGATTTCTAGAATATGTTTTAATGATGAAATTAGAGCCATGGATAATAACATGATTAGACTAATATGTTATTTTGTTTTTACTTTTTCTCTTTTAAAGAGTCACATCCAGGTGGTAACATGAGATGCTGATAAATTACAGCATTTTTTCACCTTTTAAGTAATTTCTTTTTTTTTAACAATATCTGATTTTCCAACCTTATTCATCAATGAATTATTTGATGTACCTTGTTCAGGGTCCTGATAGCAGCAAACCTAAGCGTGGGCTTGGCTGAGCTACAGAAAAGCTGGAGAACGGGCACAGCTGAGGCCAGCTCTTTGGCAGATGTGTTCTTTAAGTTTACTATGGCGTGGGCAGCCTCGTAGATGACAATCTCACTCTTATGGCGCAGGCAGTTCTCAATGAAGTCAAACATTGGGCTGTCAGTTCTGATGAAGTAAACAAAACCTATGTCAATTCAGGTGATGTAAACAAAGTCTTGTCAGTTCTAGTGGAGCAAACAACAGTTAGGTTACCTAAATTACAAAAAAGACATTTGTCCACTTTATGCCCATTCTTTTCATGTCATTATTCACATACTTTATCCTTCATAATTTCTCAGATAATTTTCCTTACCCTACTCCTTCTTCTTCCATAAGTTTACTTGCAATTCTGATCTGGAATAAAAAATAAAATAATTATGGCAATCATTGAAGAATTTTGAACTTGATAAAAGTGTATACTTGAAAAAATAAAATCAGAATAGTTCTTTTTATTCCTTATTTGAAGTATCTGAATATGAATCTTTCTCCATCTCATGGAAAACAATATTCAATGTCTAAAGATGACTGAATACCAATTTATGTGATCCCAAAAGATGAGCCAAAAATGGTCCAGCATCAAATAGGATGCACATGACTTAATCTCAAGAGACTGATACAAAGTATTTCCAGTAAACAATAGCAAAGCCTTACCAGTAGGCAGTACGCATAGGGAGACTTGAGGGAGTGTTTGGAGAACTTGGTAACTAGTTTGGTGACAGCCAGTCTGTCATATTTCCTGATGTGGTACAGAAGTCCAAGGGCGTGGTACTGTCAGGAGTAACAGAACAAAAGAGTAAGTGCAAATGAGATTGATGAAAAACTGAATTATCTGACTGCGGACTAAATTAAATCAATGAAATTGTCACCACAAATGAAACTTAATGTCTCAACTTACTTAAAAATTTAAGAAATCATACAATTGAAAAAAAAGACAGATAAATAATATTTTATCAGATTTTAAAATTATCGCACTAGTAATCAAAGATGAATTGGATCAGAGAAACAAAGGTTTGGACCTATGTCAAACTCTCATAATGATGTTCTTTATTTTTGCCAAAATTTCAGAAATATGTAAACTGAGGAATCTTAATGAAGATTTCAGAGACATGGAACTAATTTGACATGTTAACGTTAGTAGTGAAAACTGAAAGTGGGACCAGCCCAGATCTTCTTACCTGGACCATTATGTTGTCACTAGACACAGCTTCCTGGGCTTCGTTCACCCAGCGCTTCGTCACATCCTGACTACACTTACTCAGATGCTGCAAAACAGATATCAAAAATTATGTTTACAGCGACAATAAAAGAGGACAGCAAATGGTTGTATATATGTTCTGGAACAGTGCATTTAGAAAAGGTTTCTGGAACAGTGCATTTAGAAAAGGTATGCCAGTTAAAACTGTAAAACTGTTTCTTTTTGATTAATCATGAACATTATTTTTAACAGTTAACAGAAATGCTTTATATGCTTTTTCAAAACTCATGTTAAAATGAACAAGGTACATGTGCACTATGATCCATTTTACAATGAGCTCCAAGAAGGATCTTGGCATCTAGCATGGAAAGATCTCGAATGGTTCTATGTCAGTTTGATGTTTTCTTATCTGTTGTCTGCTCAATTGAGGAAAAACAGGAATCTTCATGTGAAAATTAAGCAATTCTATCCAGTGCTTGAGAAAAGTGATGAAAAGAACTATTTAAGGATGGACTAGACAAAAGGTGATTAGAACATCTGTAGCGCAAGTCCCTAGACCAATGAACTGACCAGTGATGAGACGAGGGCAGCACTGGACACTGCATTAACCTTGTCCACGATGGCCTGTTTCATGTAACGTTCAATGCTCTGTAACATTGTGGTCTGCAAAGTAAAACAGGAGTAAATTGTGTAAAAACATGACCATTCATTATTATCATTGAGTATCAACTAAATGTATTACAAACATGTTATTTACGGTCTTGAATTCAGATTTTTGTGATTTGCAGAAAATTCCACCTGGCGGTAACATACAAAAAAGAATGCCTTAAATAAAACACTTCATTTTATAGACATTTCTATGCTTTAGTTTAGGTCTGTGAATATCACACTTCTCCTTAAGGCTTTACTCTAATCTTGTTTATTACATTATATATTTAGGAAATTGACAACTTGATTCTTCGTGTTTTACGTGAATAGCATTTTCGGTGAAAGAAATCAAACGAAAAACCCAGATTTCTAGAAAAAGGACCACTCAAAAAAATGTTTATCAATTGTAACTTAACCCTACCTAGTTTTTTTTTTCTAAAAACAAGATACATTTATAATACTTACATCTGTGATAGAGCAAAGGGCACGGATGGCTGGGCCTCTGAACTGGTCTTCCCTTCCAGTCATATCCTTCATCAAACTGTTGAGGTCAAACATTGATGTTGGAATTAACCATTTTTTTCTGATTTTCTTTTTCAGATGGTCACACATGATAAAACACTTTTCATGGAAGACAATTCCTTTTGTACATTTTTCATGTTTGTGTTATGCATGAAACAGAAAAAATACTCAATACATTGCCATTTTAAAAGTTGGTCCCAAGTTTTACATGAAAGATAAATATTTTATGTGTTTATATATATATACAAGAAAGAAATGTTAATGAGGGTTTTCTAAGATCAAATACCTGCTGGTTACGATGATGACATCCTGGGCAATCTTAGACATTTCCTTGATACCAAGGTAAACCAGACGTCGCAGGATTGGCTGTAAAGACAAAAGTCACATGTTTATTTATGATTCTACTCTTTTTACTTCCTCAGTGTTTCTTCTATCAATCCACTACATAATTTTCTAAAGAAATCGATGTAGCCAAACAAATATTATCTTTCAAAAAATAGTCAAAGCAATGTCTTAAAATCGTGGAGTTTCTCTAAATTCAAACAAATATTACATGTAGAAGTTGAAAATCACTTAAGTAATCTTACATCTTTGGCCTGGAAAAGTTTTGTCATGGCGAAAAATGCCTCAGTAGCCTCAGTGGTTCCAATCTGTTCACCCTATCAAGTAAAACGAAATAGTAACCATCAATCAATCATGTCATTTAAAAAACTATTTAAAAAGCACTTATTTCAGTACCTTTCACATATGCTACACATATTCAGATTAAAAATTATTTTCAGTACAGTCAAAACTTGCTCATGCACAACTCTAATATGGTACTTCATATATCTTAATTTTATGATACCATTTGCATAAATAATTAGCAACTGAATGGTAGCAATATAAATGAATAAAAAACATCAAGAAATTTGAAATTGTATTCTACATTCAAAATTTTCTATATTTAGATTATAGAGCAAGTAGGACACTAGAATTTTATCATATAACTCCTAGTAGAAAGCAAGCAGGGTTGTCACAAAGTTCATTTATTTTTTATTTTTGTGTAGCAAACTCATGATCAGTTTCATTTGAAAAATGTTTTACTGATCAGTTGTTCTGGAGTGATGCTATTGCTAAAAAGGAGAGCTAAATTTGATTCAGTGTGAATAAATGCTACAAAAACAAGCCCCAATGTGTAGTTACCTGGTTGATAAGGTATAAGACCTTTGTCAGGATGTGGGCACATTTTCTTGGATTTATGGGCGATTCATTGAAGGTTCTTGCCTGAAAAAAACACAGCACCAGAGTTAAAAAAAGAATCCTTCAAGCATGCTTTTGTATAGCATTGAACAGTTCAAAACTTTATTCATATGAAACAATATTTATGATACCAGGATGGAAAATTTAAAAGAAAATATAATTATAATATACACACGCTTTCAATAATTCATTAAAAGAGCTATCTGACGTGTTTGATTAGAATAAATCATACAATATATATAGCAATACTGGTTGGTTTATGTAGGCTCATACTACACCATGTGTCTTCAGTTGAACATAAACATTAAATTCATACAATACCTCTTGCAACACACTGCTTTTTTCTATGTTGTGGAAAGGATTGCCACCACCTATAAAGAAAAAAAACAGTATTTTTATAAAAATAGGGAAATAATGACATAGATTTAACTCAAATTCACACTGGTATCTTTATACACTGTGATTGATATCCTCAACAAGCTGTTCATTATTCAGAGGGGCAATATTCAGGGATAATATGCCCCATAACCCCCCAGATCGGAGAGCTGTGAACATGCACTTGCTCATATTCCCATGTGTCATGCATACATATATGTGGGTGCTGTATGTTGTGCTTGCAAATTGTGTTCTGTTTGTTATTGGTCTGTGTATACAATGGCTCATTGACAGTGATTGAAAGTGTCATTTAATGGAATACCACAGCACAGAGATAATAATATCAAACACTTTAGCAAGGTTGATTTGTCTTCCTCAGAAACATAACTGCCACCAATGGAATTTGAATCTCTCCAAAAGACACACTAATCCCCTTCAGCCGTACTGTAGTCATTTCGTTATCAATCGGGTAGCTCAATTGGTAAAGCATCCATCTAAAGTTTGGAATCCTGGTCTGGCCGTGCATTTACTTCTCCTATTATAAAACTGGTGCTTGTGGCCAACTCTTGTTTCAAGTACTGGGTGAATGCTTGGCAGGGGGTATACCTGAACCTGGGTTGCAAATAATTGTGTCTTCGGGGACAAAGACTTAGAAAAATGGAGGGAGGAATGTAGTGGAACTGGATAGGAGCAATCATCATCAACCAGCCAGCTCAACTCGTAGAGCATATGTCTAGAGTTTGGAGGGTCCCAAGTTCGAATTTGTTTCACTCTGTATTTCACTCCCTCCTGTACTCCAACAGTGTTAGAGGTTTACACGGCGAGTACACCTATAACCAGGTTGGGGAAAACCACTATTTGTGTATAATACGCAAACTCGCCTATTATACGCCAGTTGGAGCATGGATTTGTTACTAAAAATAACCCAAATCACTTTAACAGTAACTTTTGCAAGATATTATTAAAAATGGCATTAATTTACGACAAGGTAAATAATATTTTGCTAAATGATGTTTACTGAAAGCGTTTGCTACTAAGAAACTTGATGTAACTTTACCGGAAGTATTGCATCTATTTTTGGTACTTTCCCACATGCAAATAAAGTTTACTTTAGCATTTGTATTATTTTTCATGACTGAATAAATGCGACTTGGACAAACAATTTGAAAAAGTTAAGATTCAAGTGATTTTGGCTATTTTTAGTAACAAAACCATACCCCTATTGGCGTATAATAGGCGAGTTTGCATATTATACGCATGTTAGTGGTTTTACCCGACCTGATAACATAAGAGGCCGCTGGTCAGCATTTTCTTCTATCGGATATGATTTCGGCGGCTGCGATTGCTGTACTATCTTGCCTCAATCTCCAACCAGGGACATCAAAACCCCATTATTTATATCGTTTAGTTGTCTAACATGTTTAAAGAATCAAATTTTGATGAAATATGTGACTTGATTGCCTTGTTAAAATATGTAAAACGAATATCATTGACGACCTGAACGAGCATTACTGGTGATGGTGTTGGCTTATATGACTAATATGTAGTCTCGCTTAAGACTTTATTATAAATAGAGCAACAATGACTTTTAATCAAGTTCGTTTTTCCCTTAATCCTGTTTGCACCACAGCCTTAAGGTTTGTTTCGCCCTCCAATCATTTTGAGGGTTGGGTAGGTGGTACTCCTATAACATGAGAGGCCGCTGGTCGCCCTTTTAAAGTTTCTCGCCGTGTAAAACCTCTACTGTAACATTGTTGGGGTAGGACAGGTCCAGTACACTCTGCCGATTGAGCTATATAGCTGTAAAGACCTATAATAGCTCTATTGACCTATGTGAAATAGGTCTTTTGAGCTATTTTCAAGTGATTTTCTTTTTTAAGGAAAACGAAACAAAGTCGCTTTTAAAAGAAGATTGTATCATTAAGTTGATAACAAAAGACATTAAATATGGGTATTCTTTTTAAAAAATAATGATGTAAAAAAATCGGAAATTTTACATTTATGAAAAATGAAAATAAACATCTAAATGTATGCTTTTTGTAGTCAACATTACCATAAACCTTATTGTTTTATGCGACTTTGCTTTAATTTAATGAAATTTGAAATCTGAGAAAATATAGCTCAATACAGCTATAATTTATAGGTGTATATAGCTATATAGCTCAATCGGCAGTGTGCTGGACCTGTAGGAAGGTGGAAGTTTCACGGTTATCCTCTGCGATCAATGTTTACCTCAAAAGTTACATAAAAGGGGAACATCTGCAACACCCTTATCTACTTACCATCCTCTTCCTCTTTCTTATCTCGTCTTAACATGTGCATCTTTTCTTTTTTAGATGCGATAACTTATTGATGTACAGTGTAATATCGTCGGTGGCTTGACGGAAGTTGGTCCACGTTCACAATTTCTAACACGCATGCGTGAATAATACACCGGATATCAACCAAGGTAGTACTGGGTTGTAGTGCGCTACCGCCATGTAAACGATTGCTTGTACACTACATGAAAACTGAACGCAGTGTAACCAGTCAGCGAAGGGAAACATATGCCACATGCTAGTGTGACATCAAACTCTTTGCTGACGACTGCTTATTACATACAGAAATTAATTCATTAGTGTGAGAAACTGGAAAACGACCTCAAATCCTTGGAAATCTGGGAGGGTAAATGGCAAATGAATTTTAACGCCAAAAAAAAGTTCTATCATCAACATATCTAGACAGAAAAATCCAGTTAAGTTTAGCTACTCCTCCCTGCACAATCGAGTTTTGGAAAATTTAGACTCTAGCAAATACCTAGGTGTCACTTTCACCTCAGACCTAAATTGGGATAAACACATACAATCCATCACCAACAAGGCAAATCAGTAGGACACTGGGATTTCTGCGTCGCGACATGTCATCATGCACCAGGAAAGTCAAAACCCAGACATTGACCACACTAGTAAGACCATCACAAGAATATGCAGCTACTTGCTGGGACCCTTTTATTTCAGACCAGGTCCTAGCAATTGAAAATGTGCAGTGTAGGGCTGCAAGATACATATTTAATGATCATAGATCTAGAGAGCCTGGATGTGTCACCAACATGATAAATATACATAACTGGGAGCCCCTAGCCAAGCGAAGAAAAAAAGCCAGGCTCCTGATGTTATATAAAATAACAAACGGACATGTGGCTATTGATCCATCCCAATTCATAACATCAGGCGACAGGAGAACCAGAGGGGCCCACAGAATTAATCAAATATCAACCCACACAAATTTGTATAAATACTCATTCTTCCCTAGAACTATTGTTAACTGGAATTCGGTACCATCATCCCTAGCACAGGAGCCAAACCTGAACTTTTCAGGTCTACCATGGCTAGTTTCAACCTTCCATAAAGTGTTTTCTGGTTTTATCTTATAGTACAAATTAACAAAAATAATTGTTTTTAACATTTTTAATGCCACCTCCCGGGATCAAGTGCACTCAAACCTTTGAGTCTTATCTTTGTAAAGGAAGAAGAAGAAGCATGTACTTCTAGAAATGAATCTGCATGCATAGTTTGAAGACCTTGGACCTAATATGACCTTTTATGAATATGGGAGAACAGAAAATTGCATGGTTTAGTTTAACCAAACAGAATTAATGGACGTAAACGCAAAGTCTAACCACGGAATTAGATTATAGCTATCTCAGTTCGTGGTCTAACCACACAATGGAGGTTTTAACGCAAAGTTTAGCCACACAAATAGAGCTAAACGCAGGGTCTATAACCACACGATGGAGATAAATGCAAAATCTATAGCCATACTAAATGGAGCTAACATAAACAGGACATATACACGGCCCACAGGGACCTGATAATTTGTTACAGCTATATTTGGACCTAAACTAAGGTGTTAAGAGTAGTTTTACATGTTTTGGCTCGTAAACCTGATCATTGGGGTGTCAGTTTTACCGAAAGTTTATTTAAACCCCTAAAACATGTAAAAAAAATACTCTGAACACCTTAGTTTAGGTCCAAATATAGCTGTAACAAATGTTCAGGTCCCATGTGACACGGCCTACATTAAAAGTTAAATAGGTCACAATGACCCACAAGGCGCATAATGCTGTAGTACTCATGAAGATGAATCTGCATACAGAGCTGGATGATGCAAAGCCACCAAAGTGACATCCTCGATATCCAGAGGCTACGATCACTTTTGCCCTCTGCACCCCTGGTATGTCAAAGTAAAATGGAAGACACGAAGATAGCTGTTTGATTGGTCTCATGTTAAAAAATAATGACCAATCGCTAGACTGATACCCGTCCTTTGAAGATTACAAAGGAGCGACACCAGACTTCAAAGACAGTCTTTTTTTACCGTTACGCGACAGCAAGATTCTTTTGATATACTCCAAGGGATCGAATTAGTCTTCTTGTTTCACCAACAACGTGGCGAAAACTGTGCCTTCACTTTTGCTATGACATATTTCAGGGGTGCAGAGAGCGTATGTGAGCGTAACCTGGATTATCGAGGATGCCAAAGTGAGTGAAGAGGAAAATATTTCTCGCTGCGACCTACTTTACATAAAACAATGCAGTGCGGACGGAAATTACTGTCCTTCCCCTATCGTTATCGGGAAGTATAAACAAAAGTTTGAAATAAATAAAATATGTTGCCTATAAAACAGGTTATTTGTAAACCAATTCAATAGCTCACAAGATTTTCGTTTGTCGTTTCAATTTAATCATGAGCCACTTAGACCATCGACGGTCTTAAATATCTCGGAGAACAATACACAAGATGCATATGCTTCCTTCTCCCAACAAAAAGTATGATAATTCCTAGAAGTTAATATAGAGTGGAATATTATGAACCTTGCCAAACAGAGAAAAGTTATATGTTGATAGTTTGAAGGTGAGTGCTTATCACTCTCCGATATCTGCCACATTTGCAAACAATATTTTGAAATGTTAAACCATCTCAACGTCCCAGGTCAATAGTCTATTGTCAATAATGGGGCCTTTGGTTAAGCAGTCTTCAAATAAAGTTCCCCTGGAAGGGAGGATTTCTTTCGATGTATAAATTCTTTCACTCTTTTAATCTTTCTCTCATCGTTCATTATAATTCCCCTTCAAGTTTTCTTAGGGCAGATATCAAATATTCACAATAGTTCAATAACATTCCATTTTAGCGTAGACATCTTTTTTGTGTGTACAGTAATTGCAAATGAAAATGTTTTAAAGGGACATACCATGTTGTCTGCACTGCCATTTAGGTTTCCTTGCTATCCCCATATTCACAGTCTAAATTATCTAGTTTGACCACTTGAATTGTTTGGGAAAGTCCCGTTAAAAATAGCTCTGATAACGTCACGTTACGGTTGTGAAACGAGGTAGTAAAATTTGCAAAGGGGCCCCAAGAGAGGGGTTGCCAGGCAACTTCTTACCGCACAATGAAATCAAGGAAACTATATATGCTCCAAAGTCCGTGTTAAAATTCCGGAGTGATACCGGTTGAAATGGTTACGGGGCTAAACACCTTCCCTCAACCATGGGCCAAGTCTTTCTTTAAAAAGGAATAATCACGGAACGAATACCCAATTTTCAAATGTTTTCATAAAGTACATGTATGCATTGAGAAGTATAAAAAAGAGACATGTTTGTGGAATTTTATATAACAACTCCTTGTCTTTGACCACTTTATCCAAGACCATGCAATACATGATCATGTAAACTCTCTTTCCCACTTTTAATATCTTCATGCGCTGTAACACTTAGTAAGTCAAAATAGTCATTACACAAAATAAACATTTCTGGCAAAGTCATATGTAAATTTAAAATATGTGTCAGATATAGAACGTGTTAGATACTTGATAATCATATGTTTTCAATAGTTTACACAGATATGTAAGCAACTTTAAATGAACCATTTTTTATGTAGAGATGACTTTTCTTTATTGCAATTATTGATTCTCTTGTAATGGGACATTGCCTTTTTTAACACAATTGCAGGCATGGGATATATATATTTTTCAAACCCCTATGCGGCGCGAAGCGCCGCCGGGGTTTGATCTGTAAACACTTTATCCACTTCCGGTGCCTCCCCATGCGTGAAAGCCTTCTGGGAAATTAAGGCCGCATAAGATCTACAAAATTATGATAGTAAAGCCCATACGATATCCGTATTTATTACATTTTACTAGAGAGATATAATTAATTCTTATTCTAAGAAAAACAAATCTTCAATACAGTGAAGATTAACGAAAAGTTGTATCTTCACATGTGAAAAAATCGCTCTTAGTACTGTCAAATCAAAACGGTACATAATATTCACTGCGTATATTTTCTGTTTCAACTTTAGATGAAGCGACAGCAGAATAAATGGTTTTGTGGTTCCACCTTGCACAATACATTATGGTATTTACATAACTACACAACTTATATAATTTTATATATTATTTTCGTTTGGAAATCTGACCAGATAATAGCAGCAAACGACAAAAATGCATTGAGAAACCCTTTCAAAATGGCGCTCTGTGTTGGTGTCAAGCGTGACGTCATTAGAACCGAGGGTCAAAAAATTACGCTACAAATTCCCGCGCTTTTCTAATGCAGCAATATTTGCGTAGCGTGACATGAATCTAAAATTTAATTGTTTTCCCGTTGAATACTATATATACATTTCACTCATATAAAACGGGTATGTGTTTACAGAAGACGGTTAATATTCTATCCAAGGTCCATGTACATTGTCAAAGGAATTTGTAAAAATTGCGACAGGCATAAATGATATTTTATGTAAATCATGTAAATCTCTCTCTCAGAAGATGACGTTATTACCAAGTCGTTGACATTTAAATGTGCAGTTAAAATGTACATTTGCGTGCTTTGGGACAATTCTGAACGACAAAGTTAATGCCATTAACAAATATATTTGAAGAAAGTATGCAGGATCAGTTCCTTCATCTTCATCTTCATTTTTAACCTTTCTCCGTCAACATTGACGATTACGAAATGGTGGTCTTGTGCTGTAGTTCGTTGTTACATCTATGTACAGTGATTGTTTTTATAATTTGCTATAGGATAAAAACAGGTTAAAAGCAGTGAGTGAGTGTTAGTTATGTTGTAGGTTTTGTATATGTTTGTTTGTGTTATATGTGGTGCATGTCCTGAAATCTGTTAGTGTTTCTAATTGGATTATTGTTTTGTGTAGGAGGTTCCACTGTGTTATGTTGATGGAAATAATGTGGTTGTTGCTATATACTATACTATACTATATACTAGTATATATAAATAGTGAGGTCCAGCAGCTTTGCGGCTGCATTTTCTTGTTTTTATTAAGGACACAGGACATGCATTGTTTTAGTAACAGATATTTTAGACAATTGGTTGACAGGCATTTGAATAGTGTATTTTACATTGATTTA